AGTGACAACAGGAAGGCTTTTGCTGGGATGAAAGATTGAAGTGAGGGGCTCATGATCAGTCAGTAAGGTAAAGTTCCTACCGAAAAGGTAATTGTGGAATTTCTTGACTCCCCACACTGTAGCCAGTGCTTCTTTATCTATCTGTGCGTAGTTGCGCTCCGCCTTCGACAGGGATCTCGATGCAAACGCTATCGGGCGCTCTGTGCCGTCTGTCATGACATGGGACAGTACCGCTCCAATTCCTATAGGTGAAGCATCACAAGCCAGTTGTAAGGGAAGGTTAGGATCATAATGTGTAAGCACCAGATCTGAAACAATCATTGCTTTAACTTTGCAAAAGGCTTCTTCGCATTGATCTGTCCAGTTCCATTGGTAGTTACTTTCCAGCATTTGGTTCAAAGGATGCAGGATTGTAGCAAGGTTTGGCAGGAATTTGTGGTAATAATTCACCAATCCCAGGAAGGAGCGTACCTCTGCAACACTATGGGGGCGAGGGGCATTCACCATTGCAGCTGTCTTGTCGGTGGTCTTGTGCAGGCCTTCACTATTAATGTCGTGGCCACAGAACGTGATCTTTTCTTTGAAGAACTCACACTTCGATTTATTGGCTCTTAACCCATGGTGGTGCAGCCGTCGAAGGACCTCCTCCAGGTTAGCCATACGCTCTGCGTCGCTTTTACCCGTCACAATCATATCATCTAGGATACAACTAATACCAGAAGTTCCTTCCAGAATCTGATCCATGGTACGCTGCCAAATGGCGGGAGCTGAGGTAATACCAAACACCAATCGATTGTATTGAAACAAGCCCATAGACGTATTAATTGTAAGGTACTTCTTGGATTCTTCCTCCAGCTCAATCTGATGGTAAGCTTGGCGGAGGTCGATCTTGGAAAACTTTTTTCAACCAGCTAAATGGGCAAAGATATCTTCGATTCGAGGCAGAGGATACTGTTCTTCTTGTAGTATTGGGTTAATAGTACCTTTGAAGTCACCACAAATACGGACTGAACCATCTTGTTTCGGCACTGGTACAATCGGTGTCGCCCAATCACTCCACTCTACTTTCGACAAAATACCTTCGCTCTGAAGTCTCTTCAGTTCTTCCTTCACTTTCGGTCGTAAGGAATATGGGACCTGGCGAGCTTTGCGAAACTGTGGTTGACTACCTTCTTTGAGGGTTATCCTTGCTTTGGCAGACTTGAAAGTTCCCAGCTTGTCTTCAAAAACCTCTGCATACGTATCCAATAGGTTTTTCAGCTTCTCTTGTGTAGTCGTGCCAGGGTTTCTATGGCTGGAATCTGAGGATTTCAACAACTTAATGGTTTTCCAGTCGAGGCGAAGCTTGTGAAGCCAATCTCGACCCATTAACACTGGACCCTTAGTCTGGACTACATGGAATGGCAATTGACATGATTGATCTAAGTATTCAACTTGCATGGTAAGGCAACCAACTGGAACGATCAGTTCACCAGTATAGGTCTTTAGTACGGTGGTTGTTTTCTCTAACTTCTTGTCGCGAAATCTTTCCAAGAACATGTCATATGGCAAAATGGACACGGCCGATCCTGTGTCTAGTTCCATGGATAGTGGTTGATTTTCAACTTTCACGTCAACCCATATGACATCACTGTTTGATTTGTTTACATTATGAACTTCTAGGTTATTCAACAAGTGTTCATACTCATCTGGTTCGGTCTCTATGGCATTGGTCGATTTCTGGTATCTTGATCTGGGCGAGGGTCTACCGGGCCCCTGGCTTTGTTGTGCCCGGCAAGCTCTTTGAATATGACCTCTCTTTCCACACTTGTGACAGACTTCTTTCTTAAATCTACACTCAGTTGCAACATGGGTATTAGCTCCACATCGATAACACACTACAGGGGAAGATGGGCCACTATCTGATCTATTCGAGGGTCTGTTCAGTGTCAGTTTGTCAAGACCAAGAGGTTTTTCTTCTCTTCCCTTGCTGTGGATCTCTGTAGCATCTCGAGTGGCTGTTTCCATAGCAACTGCTATGTCAACAGCTTTGGAGAATTTTAATTTTGACTCTGCAAGGAGACGTTTCTGAATTTGCTGATTACTTAATCCACACACCAATCTGTCGCGCAAGGTTTCTTCCAAGTTATTTCCAAAATTGCAATGTGTGGTTAATTTCTTTAACTCAGCTATATAACTTAAAATGCTCTCCCCTTCTTGCTGATTTCTCTTATAAAAACGAAACCGTTCGGCAATTTCTAGTGGTTTAGGATTTAAATGCTTCTGTAATGTACTTACTATTTCATCAAAGTTCTTGTCTGCAGGCTTTTCTGGCAAAAGTAAATCCTTTAATAATGAATACGTTTTGCTTCCAATCAAACTCAGCAGAGTTGGCACTTGATGATTGTCGTCGACATCGTTTGCAGCGAAAAATGTTGTACTCGTTCGACATACGTCTCCCAGCTTTCTTGGGTTTCATCAAAAACATCAATTTTTCCAATCGTCGTCATTTCTGGACTTATAACAATCCCAAATTCGTCGCCACTGTCGTGTATTTAGATTATACTTTTAACAAAATATGAATAATACATAAGCATGGCCGATCTACATATCTAATGCGCATGTCCGTGCGTATGACCGCTGTCCGTCTATATCTATATATCTAACAATTTGCATAGCGGAACTAAATCGTTGGGCTGGCAACGCTACTGGGTGCAAAGCCTCCTGAATTTCCGACAAACTTTTCAAATTTCCGAAAAAAACCTCCCCCCCCCACGCCATTTGCACTCGGAGATGCTGTTTTTAACCCTCTTTTAGGTCAAAATTTCCGAAAATTCGTAATTTTCCCTGAAGTTAGGTTTCTCCCCTCCCCCGTCCGACCGAGGTTTCGGCCACTGTTACTGTAACATCGAATAGATTTAATAAGCGTTTTCGTGCCGGTTTGCACGTACTTTCGAAGTATTAATAGAACGAAGAAATCTTCACCGAAATTAAGGTTTAGACTTTTAGCGCATGTGTGCAGATTCCCTTACAAGAAAGATCATACAAGTTATTTCCGCACTATAGAGTTAATGTTATATAGCAGTAGGGATGATATACTACAACGTTGACTGATAAACCACAGGCCAAGCCAAGTAAAAATTGAATGATAGGGCGCGCTTTTCGTGATTTTCTATTTATCCCCCACCTGCTCCTTATCTTCTATATCACAAATATATTTTTAATCACGTTCTTCATTCTAGTATGTGCCTGGTACTTGATAAAAAATGTATTAATAAGGAGAATTTCTCACTACATTTATATAGAAACTTCGTGGTCGGTTCGACACGCTTAATAAAACATCAATATGGCCAGAACCAGAAATGAGGCCGAGTATATAGAAAGGGCATGAAAATGTATTGCATGTCCCCGAGGAGAGCGAGGAGGAACTTGTGCAACAAAACGAATCATCTGGGTCGGAAGAGGAAGATGAGCCTCAAAAAATAAGCAAAAAAGTAATCAAAATCCACCCACTATCTTGGCGCAGCGGCAGATTCATCCATCTCTTGGAATCGTTGGACCGAAAGTTTTGTTGGTGTGTGCTGCAAGAACTGACATTCCTAACTGGATGGTCAAGATTTAGATTTTGAAAAGCATAACATTTTATTCAACTTGTATTTTTGTATGCATGCACTATAAATTTTCATTTATTCAGCTGTGGTTGTATAATAAGCAAGAATTGTGTGAGGATTTTCAGATATCCGGAAATGTCATGTTTTACTGCGACAATCAATAAGTGCTATAAGCATATGCTCGAACATACTGTAATTGTCCTTACTGTATGTTGGCCAAGACAGTATTATTGCTTTCACCACGATATTATCAAGAGTGATTTGAAGGAACGGAATATTTTGATATTCTTGTGCTTATGGTTATACTTATATACTAGCTCGTGTATGCTTATGTTGTGGTCAGAAAAGTAATTTAATTAAGAAACGGACGAATGCTGAGTTTCGTATTAATTAGGCTATTATGTTATACCTTACTGTTTATTCATTTCTGACCGGCCTCGTATTATTCTCAGGTATTTATTCATGTTTCATGCACGTAGGATAAGAACTTACTTGTTATTGAACTAAGGATCAGCGAGAAACAAATATATTGTGTAGGAAACACGGGGAATACAACTTTCAACTTTCAGGTCTAGGTTAAGAGTGAATAAACGAGACCTAGGTTACGAGTGGATAAACGGTAATGCCGAATCAAAACGTTTCGTTCCTTATGCGTGCATGTGCTTATGCTTGCGCTTACGCTTAAAAAGCATTCCAGCTAAGAAATAAACATGTTTGATGGCCTTATGCGTTTGTTATATACGTATAGCTTTCATTATAATATATGTTCTGTATATAATTATTGTGTGCATATACTATTAAATAACTATAATTATAAACCTCCTTCTCGGTTTATAACTCTAACTTATAATTTAACTGAAATTCACTTGAATTTACGTCTCTCACTGACACTAGAGCATAATATTTCAAACCAATAAAATAACTGCGGTTCTGTAGATTCTTTAAACACATCTAATGTGCAAATACGAAACGGTATGTGAATATTTGTGCAAATGTGGAATTTGCATGAAATTTGCCGTAAATTCGAAACGAGTGCCTTTTTGAAATCGGTACTAAAATTGCACCATGTGTGATATATTTAGCAAATTCTATTTTTGCAATGAAATCACTCTGAATTGCCATTAGCGCAAATATATAAATTCACACTAAATATACATCAAATTTGCACCCAGTGGCTTGGCGGCAATCACTCTACCGCACCGGGTGCAAACGTGAAGCAGATCTACAAATTTGAACCGGTGCAAATGTGGTCAAAGGTGAGCGAATTTGGAATTGCATCAAATTTGCACATACATTTGCACATAGGCATATTTGTATTTTCGTCCCGTGACCTCTCTACAAAATACATGCAATTCATCGCTTTGGGGAACATACTACACTGTAAATTTCAGGGAGTAAAAATTACCCCTTTGAAGGTCAAAAATTACTCTCTTGAAAGGAGTAACTGATTTTAGGGTAGAAATTACTCCATAATGCGGGGTAGTTAGTAGCCAAATCGTTGAATACGGAGGGGTAATTGAGGGGTAATTGAAAGAGGGGTAAAAATTACACTGGTTTTGCGGGTAATGTTACGAGGTGTATATTCGGGGGTAAATTTTTACGGGGTAAAACTTACCCCTTAGTTACCCTTCAATTTTTCAAGATGGCGGCGACGCATGGAGTGGCAGAGACCCGCAGAGTCTCTTCGCGAGTATACGATTGAAATTTAACCGATTAATTTCATACATCAAGCACATAAATTTGTGGCCATCGAATGAATTGATGACTGGCGTCTTCATGGGGCAAATCATTGTTATTAAATGTTTTGGCGTCGCCAGCTTCCTCAGTGTTAGCGTCGTCAATGTTTTCGACATTCGTCTGAATACATTTGATGTGCTTTCGCCGAAAAAATGATCCACAGATGCAATAATTATAAGACATTTATATGGCTTGTGCGTTTGGTTTATAGATTTCACACCACTCGCTTATAAGCGACTCCGGTACGAAAACATAGAACACTAAGTTTCATTCCCAAATTATCGTATAAGGTATAAATTGCCATTGGGCATGCAACATGCGGCTGGTTTCAATGCATTAATCAACGTTGCGTGTTGCCGGTATCTGTCAGTTTTGATGCCGCGGAGATAGTAAAGCTCGTGCAGATTGGTTAAAAGGTCTCCTATTTCGTTTTACTTTGTTCTATTATTGCCTATTCATGCCCCCAAAAGAGTCCCTGAAACAACC